ATAGTTTCTCAATTGCGATCCGTATTAAAATTTAACATTTAATATCTTCAATCACTACAATATTACACCGCAAATATTTTGTACAAAGAACAATCACATGAATTACTTTTTTTTTTTTAATTTTTTTTTTTTCTTCTTTTTCATTTTCTTCCCTCGTCGATTCCTTGTTTACCTCGCGGTCACCCACCACCACCGGCCTTGATTTGTTCCAAATTACTTATATCTTTGACTCGTTTAGCTCCTCTCCCCCGAGTGCCGTCTCTCATCGCCTCGTTTGCGCTCGATTTTCCACGCGCGCAAGTACCGACGGAAGAGCCGTACTCTCGAGTCATTTTGCCGCGACGGTTTCGACCAGAGACGGGCCGCACGGGAGGGCTCGGCGAGAGGGATGAAAGCCAGACCGAGTATACACGCGAGTGTTGATGCCTCGCGGCTCGATGATTATTTCTTCCCACCGGTCCGCGGTGTGGCCGTTCCATCGCGCGTACGTTACACGCTTCACGCACCGGCCGCTCGTCCGTGTACACGTCGGTGCTCTGTCTCGTAGTCCGGGTTGCGCGCGCCAGGACAGTCCATATGCTCCAATCCTCGTCATCCTCTCATCGGTGTATTAGTCTTCGCTACGACGCGCGGTCAGTTTCGATCATTTGCCTACGCGTGCATCCAGCTGCAACAAAGACCAAACGTTGTTTGCCGTTAGAGCTTTTTGCCCCTTGATAATTTTATCCAAAGCTTTGGAAATACAATGAAACGCTATGAACAGCGGAAATCGTCAAAAATGTCCCAAATGGACACTGCCGTATACGACATCTGACAATACATTTGGTCCACGGATCATCCGCAAGATTTAAAAGTGAAATCTTGGGATAAAATAAAAATAAAAATAAAAGTTTACCTTTATAAGTGATGCCCGTAATATTCCGGCGGGTAGTGGTACTGGTTGTGGAAGGTCGGGTCTCCGGGTGGCCGGTGGTGCATCATGCTCGCCGCCTGGCCCTCCATCATGTACCCCATCGTCGCGTCCGGGCTGTACGCCCCGCTCGGACCTGCGGACAACGTCGGAAAGACTACACGTTACTCGGGTTAGAACTCTGCTCGAGCCCCGGCAGGGCCGCGATGGTCGAGCTCGTCACTCCCGCGACCCCCTTTTGGGATGCGTCGGATCGAGAGAGCAAAGAGCCGTGTGCAGTGTGGTTGGTGGTGGTACCTATATCTTACAAAGTCTTTTTTTTTTTTTTTTTTTTGCCAAAAGCATGCATTATGTATATAACAGCTAAGAGACGCGTAGGCCTAAAATTCCATCGGTTCGTACACGCAACGGGGAGCATCGGGGGAGAGGCGCCGAAGGGAGGGGAAGCTCCGAGGCTGCGGGAATGTTTAGCATAAGAAAGGCTTAAGGCCCGATGTACAATGGGGCTCGGTCGACTACAGACGCGCACGTCCGCACAGACAGACAGATAGACAGTGAGACGGACGAGGGGGTGGTTGGCGCGCGCGCAATCAGTGCCCCTTGATTTATCGTGGCAATATACATTAAGATACCCAGCATTAAAACTAGGGGAGTCCGATCTCTCTCTCTCTCTCTTTCTTGCCCGTTTGTCCCGTTATAGATATATACGTACGACTGGAGAACACATCGTCCTTCATACCCTCTGCTCTGTTGATGCGTATACGTACAAGCAAAACGAGATGCCATTACCAGTAGCGATGACAGTGTGCACAGGCCCGCGCTGGGGAGTAGAAAGGAAAAACGTTGTCGTAGAAAAGGGGAGGAGAATATAAATATACACACTTTGCTGCTGCGTTTGATTTCTTTTTCTGCGCTCCATGGGTATGAGCACACCCCGTTATGTGGCCGTTCGAGAGCCCATGGGAGCAGAGAGCACGCGGAATGGCACTTTAGTGCTAATGGGGCACTTGAATACATATATAGTCGCGCTTGGGAATCTTTGGCTGCACCAACCACTCGATACCCATCGTTGCTTTTAATCCTCGAGTCTTCAACTTGTATGTATTATTTCGAAATTCTCGTCCAAAACGTTTGAGACTCCGAGCCACAATCGTACCTCATATACGTACAAAGGACCAGCGCGTGTAGTTTCATTTTACCAGAATATCCCGGGCACGCGTCATAAATCACAATTATTAACAACGGAGCCCAGGGTAGGTGTACATATGTATATATATAATACCCACACCTCATTGGCCTCTAAAAGCAATTTTTCCAGCATCGCGCTCGTATTTCCTCCTCTTCCCTCTTTCTCCAGCGGCAGCGTCTTTTCTTTCATTATCTCTCCAACAGCGGCAACTTCCCCCCCCCCCCCCCTCCCTCCACTCTCGGATGCCACAAAGTATACATCTCGCGAGTGCGCAACAACTCGCGCGAGATTATTACGGATCCGGACAGGCTGACTCTTTGTACACCTATATATGTATATATGTATGGCATACAGCCACTGCAGCAGCCACACTCACGCATGTATACACGCGTCGATGGAATGTAGCCGGTGCTCATATTATAGCCGCTCGAGCGATACCCCCATTGCACTAACGATGGGGATGCGCTCGTAGCCGTGATTAAACCGCGCCATAACGCAGCGGGAAGCCCCTCTCTTTCTTTTTCGCCGAGCCGAAGCGGCCTGCACAATGTGGAAAATTAAGGAACATCGCGCCGAGATACGAGAATGGCCCTGCCGTCATCGGAGGGAGGTATATAGGGATAAAGTGGTCTTGGACTGTTGACGTATACCACCCCCCTTCCTTTCATATTTATGCATTGGGCAATGATTAGAGGGACACAAGAGAAAGGAAAAGGGTCCCTAGTGCGGGAGCTTCTTGTTTATCGTTTGCCGATGCGACCCGTGGCTTTTTTCGATTTTCTTTCGCTCGTACATGGATGACCGTTTCAGCGGTTAGTTAGCGCACAAAGGCGCAACGTAGGAGGATCTCCGTAGAATCGAGGATCAGCGGATTTACACGAGCGGGGAAAAGAAAAAATAATTTGAGATTGGAACCAATGGTGGCGATGGCCATTTCGACGCGAGAAGGAGAGTACATATAGGGGGGAGAGAGAGAGAGAGAAAAAAAAGAAGCAAACTCACAGCTGCGGGTCGCGAAAATCAAGACGGACGATGCTTGGATTACACCAGCGCTACTACGACTGGAAGAACCAAAGTCCCGACAAACTTTTGCGCCTAACGCTCCTCCTGGTTACGCGTACTAGTATTATATACGCGAGCCCAACGCGATGTGACTTTCCATATGCGCGAGATAACGATTACTATTGTATACAGCCACGGTATGGCTGGACGGATTTTCCGGACGACTGCGGAACTGTCAGATGGAGGAGGGAAAGAAAAATGGAGGCCGAGTCACGTTTCGTCATCTGTACTCGTGTATTCGAAGACGAGTACGGGGAAACGAAGAGCGACAGAGGGCAAAGCGTCCACTTGTGCCAAGGTTGCGGTGGAAATACAGTGGAAAACGAAAATCGGCTCAAGCGGCGTGTAACGCGAACTGTACAGCTATACACCGAGGAGGAGGAAGTCGGCCCCTTCGCCCAACGAAAAAGCCAAAGAGAGAGAAAGAGAGGGTGTTGGGGAGGGAGGTAGGTAATGCAATAAAGCACCGGTGTGTCTGGAGCCGCGTAAATCCTATTCGTCCCGGGACAGCCCCTCTTGTGTGTAATTTATTTAGAGGCCAAGGGGGGCACCCCCGTTAATTGCCGCTCGCGCGCGTTAAGCTGCGAGAAAGTATTCCGTTGATACGGACCAAAGAGAGGAGGGCCATCGGCGCGCCGGAGCTTTCACGGCAGTTGTTTCATCCCCCCCCTCCCACTGGTTCGAACCCTCGAAGATCTTTTCCTCAATTACGGCTTGTTCCTTTCTGCAGATGTCCCGCACATCACTCATTCTATATTAAAATGCTCCCAAACTTCATTTTCCAGTCGCCGTGGACTGTGGTAGCTTAGGATGGATGGGAGCTTTCGTTACATGTGGAAGATGTGAGGACACTTTTTGGGATTTGGTTGATAATGGAAAGCGCGGATTAGTCGGTAATGAGGTGTGTACGGCAGAGGTCGACTGATAAACGACGCCGTGGTTATTAAAATTTCCCTCGTTACACCGAGTCTCGGCGGGATACCGTGTGATTTTTCCTCCATCCGCCACAGAGTATGCGTACGACTGTTCGTTGTTGCGTACAGTATGTATGTACGGAAGAATTTTCCGACCATGTATCTCCGAAGGTATTCCGGTCATTAGCACTTTCAGGCTATTGCTGCTGCATTTTTTTTTTTTTTTTTATAATTGCAGGGCACATATGAGGAGAAACAAGTTTCCCCCTTGGGCTATTAGCACCGAACAAGCGTCTCGAAGAAACACGCGCTTCTCTCCAATGAAGAAGGAAACAGATGCATATAGTCAAAGAAGAATCCATACTTACAAAGGGGGCATAATTGGCCATTTTTCGTTTCAACTTTAATGGCCAATTGGATAAAACAGATGTTGCAAGTACTTTTGATAAAGGAACGAGCAAAAATCGCTCGCGTATGCTGAATAGAATTAATTGTCAACTTGATCATAATTCCGCTCATTTTCGGCATCTTCGGTGAGGTAAAATGCAGATTTTTTCTACGGAGACAACCCGAGCTGCCTTGAAGAAGGCTCTATCGGGTAATTAGATTTTAGCGCACGTAGGTGGTATACAAGGCGTGCATCACCTACATGCAGTGACGAGGTGAGTGCGGAGAAGTGGGAAATCCCACTAACGCTCTCGGGTTGACTTTCGCCCTTCTACCCCGCGGTCCCTCTATTCTCGCTACACGAGAACGACATTAGTCGAGTAACTTATGGTTGCGGCCTGGCTGGGGCCCAGAGCCCCTAACGCGCGTGCACAGCCGTATACATGTAAAGGAAAGAGAGAGAGGGGGGAGGGGATGGGCTTGAGGTCTCGAAGAGGCGTCTTCGGCGCTGCTACCGAGTGGAGGAATCCTCTCGGCTGCACATCCTGTACGTATAAACAACGCAGAGGCAAGTAAGTAGGAGGAGGTTGCGCTCTCGAACTTTACTTGGCACCAAGACTGTGTGCGTGTGTTCTCGTCGAGTTTCCGACTTGCAAGTTATACAGGGTCTCCGCAGAGCTGCAGCGGAGCACCGAGAGCTGACGCACTCGCACACACGCCAGGCGCTTCGACGACGAGAGTTTATGCGCCGCTTCTTACGTGCCCCCGCACATATACCCTTGAGGGAGGACAGGGTGGAGCTGAAAAATCGAGGAGACGGTCGTTGCAACGGGGGTAGGGGATAAGTTTTTGGGCAGCCGAGTGTACGTTTTTGGATTGTTTTGAATAACAACGCACGGGTACGGCTACTGAGATACGAGCTGTCGGTCTCGGAGGAAAAACAAAAACTTTGGCAGCTCCTTGTTTTCCCGTTCGGGCGTACAGATACTCTCGGAGTGAGGGAAACTTTTCATCGGGGTGACACGCGGCAAATATTGAATCGCCCGTGAGGATGGGGGGTGTTGTAACATTGCGCTGGAAGGCAGCTGGCGGTAATGAGGGAGGGCGATTCGCGATGTACTTCCACCCAAGGGGGGGTGGGTAGGGGATGTTGGGTTTTTCGCAAGCCCAACGAGTCGGTGGACTCCCGGAAGCCGGAAACGTGTCGCGGAAGCTTCGACGGTCCTTCGATGAAACTGTGTACGTACAGTGGCCATGGCCAGCAATAATTCATCCACCCGACTGTGCCGTGTCTCTCAGCCGTCACGTCCCTCTGTCTTTCTTTGCGTAACTGCGTTGGTTTTTTTTTTTTTTTGTTTTTTTTTCATACAGTCCCGTTTTTGCGCTGTCATCGCGTCTCCTCTGATGCTCCGTGCGTTTCATTGACCGTGCGATTATTGCGAGAGCAGCTCTGCGGGATTTTATTGGCCCCACACGCCAGCGTGGAAGGGAGATGTTCCGCTGAGCGACAAAAAAATTGGCTCGCTCGCGTGATGTTGCGTACGTCGCGGGTTTCGTGTGTCTTGCTACCGGAACGCAAAGTAA